TTTGAAAATCTTTTTTATCAACAAAAATGTTTAAACAAATATAAAGACTGTATTGCACTAGTAACTGTTAGTTTCCAAGACTATAAAAGATATGACTGATAATTTCTCTTCCAGACGCTGAACCCGAAGTGGAATGAAGAATTTTATTTTAGAGTAAGTTTTTATTTTTTGGTAATCATCCTTATTGATATCTTGTCTTATCACAATAAATTCATTTTGAGGAAAGCAGTAACATTTTTTAAAATGGGAGATTCCTTTTAAGATGAGAAATATTTAGGTAGCTTCCTAATGTGTCCCAAATTTTGAAAGAGTGAGAAGTGATCACAAAATCTTGACTGTTTTATTTGCACATGGGGAGTGGTGGTGGTGGTTGGGAAAATAGAAAGATATCCAAATACTATATTTTGTCTTTTCAACTCAAACTTTTGTTTAAAAAATAAGGTAAAATATAATTTAAACAGTAGTTTATTTTTATGTGACAAGGGTTATGAATTACTTTAGAGGTACAGTTAAGCAGTAGGAGAAATGTATTTAAAAGAAACAGTAAACATTACCAGGTATGGGTCTGGAGATATAGTTCAGTGGTAGCTCTTGCCTAGCACACACATAGCTCAGGGTTGGATCCTGTAGCACCCCAAAGAAGAAGAAAAAGAAAAAGGAAAACTACCAATTATGTTCCAATTTAGAGAGAAAATTTTTTGTTATTCATACATTTAGTATGTGTGTATGTGTGCACTATAAAATTACTTTTGGAATTTAAATGCCACTCAATAAGGTAAATTTTCCTTAATCTTATATATTTAATATCTACAACAGCTGTATGTAGAAATGGCTAAATTCTGTGAAATAGCTGGGATTTCTCCTCAGTGAGCTTTAGTGACTGTTGCTGTTTTTTGTTACCAAAATTCTGAAAATATTAAACTACTCAGCTATTTAATTGAAAGAAAGAGTTTTTTTATTTCCTCTTTAAAATGGAAGAATTTTAATTGTATAACTGTGCTATTAAAAACTGCTGTCCTCCAGAAATACTCCAGATTAGGCCATTGGCTTAGTGCACATGCCCAAAGATCAATATTGCCATTAGGCCCCTTGTAATTGGTCTTGACTTCTTTTCAATAGGGATAGCATTTTATTTGCTCCACATTTGGATAACTATATCCTGCATCTGTTTTTTATTATTTTCAGAGCTGAAAACAGCACTGATATTTTAATACTTGGTAGATCCCGTGTTCAGCCTCTACCAGATGTATTTTAAATTACTCCATGAAGAACTGACAGGTGATTGGAGGCTGAGAGGAGTGACTGGCCCTTTGTTAACTCTCAAATACAGTTTTCTTCTTGTAGAGCTCCAAATTACTTTCCTTTCATTTGAACCATATTTGGGTGAATTTTAGTACATGGAAAACTTTTTCAATGATTCTTAACTATAGACATATTTAAATTCTATTTTTTTAATTCTATTTTTAAAGATGTCTTTGTTTGTTGTACAGAATTTTCCGGTACAAACTACGTGCTGCAGCCTGTACATGTGTTCCATAGTCAGCAACACAAGTTGAGTTCAACAGCAGACCTGGGTCACATCTCTGGCTTTACCGTTTATCGCCTTTGTGACCCTGGAAAAGCCACTGAGGACTCTCAGTCTCCCTGGGTTCCCGGTTTCTCATGTAGGAAAGGGGAGTCCTTGCTTGGAGGCTTGCTTCCCTGATTTACATGCAGTAACATAAATGAGAACACTTGGTACCACATCCCACGCAGTTGGTTATGATGCCCGAATCTAGGTGATGTTACGTGGACCAACTTGAGCTGTTTTAGTAAAGAAAAAGAGGCAAAATTCTACTGAAAGCCTGTTAATTCTAACACTGACCCCCCACATTGCTGGAACTAGGAGGATCTTTCTGGTTCTCTCTGATGGTTCACAGGACAGGTCCTGGAGAGCAGCGGGCCAGAACTTATTCACATCCTGGCTGCCTGACACACTTGCTGTGGGCTCCTGGGCCAGGTACTTTACTCCCTTAGTGTCAGCTCTTCATGTGTGAAATCAAGGTGATAGCTACATATCACAGGGTTTCTGTAAGGATTAAATAAGATCAGGTATTATTGACCTTTAACGAGTAGATAATGCCTTAAAAAGTCATAATGATACATAGCTACTCTTAGTATTTTCTTAATGATTATTACCATTAGTAGTAGTAGCAGTAATAGGCCTAGGAGATTTTTCTCTGGCAGGGGCCTATGTGAAAATATGACCATGTGAAGAGGATGCCTATTTGTAGTACATACGAACTCTTGAAAGTTCTTTGGATTATCCTTTTTTATTCTAGTAATATAGGTAAGGGCCTTACCTTTTTCTGATATACCAAAATATTAGGGGTAGAATTACAGAGAAATCAAGAATAGCAAATTTTATTTAGTAGATACAGAATTGCCAGATAATTAGGTTAACTGTTCCTATTATACAGTTGAGTTGGTATATTATAAAGCATTATTCTATTCTGTCCCTTATTTTGTTTTTCAAATGATTCCTGCTCATTTTTGAAATAATACTAATGTCCCCTCTAGGTAAACCCATCAAATCACAGGCTCCTGTTTGAAGTATTTGACGAAAACAGATTGGTGAGTGTTTATTTTTGAATTTTGCTTCATTTCTTAAACATTGAATTTTTAGGGCTGAACCTTCCAAACTCTGTCTGTTGGTTGTATATGCTCAGTAGAGGACTTCTTTTGTCCCACTGCTAGAGTTCACCATTCTAAAAATATTTGTGTGCTTGTAACATGGAAAATTTACTTTAAAATGTATGTATTTTTTATTTCAGTTAAGATTATTGAAAGTTACTGATGATAATCTTAGCCAGAGTGCTTATATTCTGGTTTTGGGAATACAGAACAATAGGCAGATCTGTAAAGATGTCATCAGGCACATAAACAAACCGATGGGGAATTTTTTTTTTTTTTCTTGGTACCGAAAATGGATGGGGAATGTTAAATCTAAACCAGACTGTACTTCTGTGATCCATTCAGTAGCATATCTCTGGTAATTCTCTCTGGACAAATGTATTCTAACAGTATATAGAAAAGAATGAATCTATACTTAGCAGGTAGTTAAGCTGTATTTTAAAGGTAGTACCTTCTCAAGAAAGATCCTTAGTAAATATTTTCAGAAGCAAAGATGGGGCTGGGGATATAGCTCAGTGGTAGAGTGCTTGCCTGGCATGTGCAAAGCCCTGGGTTACATACCAAGTGTGCAAAAAATAAAAAGACTTAAAATTTTTTAAGTTTGATATAGTCCAGCTAAGTTGCCCAGGCTGGCCCAGGACTTGAGATCTTCCTGCTTCACCCTCCCAAGTAGTTAGGATTACAGGTGTCCTCTGCCACTCCCAGCTGAAAGTCCATTTTTACTTCCTTGATAGATTGAATGAGATTCTGCTAAGGGGTCAGTGCTTGCTTTTATCTTACCCAGGCATGTGAATCAGCAATGTTTAGGTTCAGTAAAGCAGTAAGTCCCTGCAGACATAGAGGCCTCTATAGACTCACCTATATTCTCTGATTTATTAAGTATAATAACTCTTTAAGATGAAAAAAGGGTCATAAGTGAGGAAAAATCATGTCTTCTTTCCTAAGTTAATCATTCAGTTTTCTTTTACTAAGAGAAATCACTTTTTAAAAAAAAAAATCCCATTTCCATGATCTAAAATATTGACTATAGTTGAGATGACTTTGCCTTGGATGAGAAAGTGTATTTCCAAAGCAAAAAGGGCTTTGACTGCAAAGCTTTTAAGAACTCCTGTATGAATACATACTTTATCTGAACAATCTCACTTTATAATATTAATACTAAGCTTTGCCCCAGGCCATGTGCAGTGTTGTTACTATGCAAAGAATGTTGCTGGTGGTGACTTTTCTCTTTGTTGGCTGTTAATCCAGCAAAGAGAATGCATGACTGTAGTAGTACTTGGAAGTTCTAGCATTAAGCAAACTAGCTTTCATTTCTCTCGTAGAAGTCATTTTTGGCCTTTAGAACTCATGGTTTTAGAAAAGAGGTTTGGATTTATGTAAACACAGGGTTAATCCTCCACACCTCTGATTCTAGAACTATTGACAAAGTCAGGCTTTGCAGATTTTAAATAAACTTTGTGTCACTCTTAGCAGATTGATATTCTGTTTTTTAACCTCCTTCTAAATAAACCTTTGTATTAAAATAACTGATGTTTCTGGTTCACAGAAAATAATGTTTAAAACACATAGAATATTTCCAAGTTAACTACGAATCTAATGACAAGTTTTTGAACATGAGCTTTTATTTCTTAGGTCTTTTTTGGCTCATTACAAACATAGGAAGATTTCATGTTTAGACTCTAACTGTGCTATTATTGCTAACTTCTTACTGGAAAACAGTCAGCTCCAGGTGGCATTTCTTCAGTATGGTTTTTAATTTAAATTACTCAAAAACCACGTGAACACCCTTCTTAAATTTTCCTTCTTTTTGGGGGAGGAGGGTGTTTTCTTTTCCTCCTATCTGGCATATGAGAGTGAATGTTTTCTCCAGCTGGGTTTCTTTTTCTCTGGTACTTCCGTATCTGACAATCGTGTTATATGTGAGGTCCACACACTTCTTTTAAATGAGAAGTGTTCAGAGGAACAGGAGCCCAGTCAGGGGCACAACTGGCTGTGTAGTAAGTTTGTGCCCCCCCAGACCTCACTTTGCTATTTTGTTACTAGTAGATCATGGTCTAATTATTTCCCATTAAAGGGACACTAATACTGTGGGGTGTGTAATCGTATTTATAGCATGTTTTATTAGTTTGCATTCCCTCGTGGTAGTGTAGTGATATCATAAATAACAGAAACATAACATCTGACGCTTACGAAAGGGTTTCCCCTTCAGCTGAGCTGTGTTTTCCTTGTTGCTTGGTGTGGTGGGTAGGTGGGGATACACCAGTGTGTTTGTGTTTAATGCACTGGGACCCTGCAGAGAGTCCCATTGCCGCGCATAGTTGGGAGAGAAATGTCCCGTGAATGTAATGCGGCCAGATTTACAGCAGCAGGGCTGGAGGTGTGTTTGCTGCCTCAGTCAGCTGCGTGAGCTCCCTGCTGGGCTGCCCCTTTCTGACAGAGCAGCAGCAGCTGGGAAGGTGCTGTTTCAGGCTCTTGCTGTTAGGAAAAAAAAAAAAAAAAAAATGAAAGCGAGAGGGGGGAAATTGCACTAAGTCCACAAGCTGGCATTGGAGGGGGAGAGCGCGGTCATGTGGTTCTGGCCATCCTACCCTCTGTCACGGTGTAGATGAGAGCTTTTTGCTCTTATCCAATCATGCCTGGAATGCCGCTTGCCACTTGGGCTATTTCTGCTATCTGTCGCTCTTGGTGCCGCAGTGCTAACGGTTTGGCAGATGGGACACTTTTTCTTGGAGTTGGTGTCTTTGGTTTTTGACTTCTGGCAGTGCCGGGCTTGTTGTTGCTGCTCGCCCTCTCCCTCTCGGCCCCCCTGGTCACCATGGCCCATCGGCTTCGGTTTCATTTTGGCTCTGGGCGCAGCAACACAGCCCCCGAGTCAGAGATCCTAGACCAGGAGAGAGAAGAAGACTTTTTCATGGCATTCCACACCCTCCCGCGGCGGAGCAGCCCACATCCCTTCACCCAGAATGGAGGGGAGGACGGCGGTGGCCTGCAAGAAGGCGTGGGCGCGCTCAAGCGCAGCTCGTCCATGTTCATCCCGCAGCTCCTCACCAGCATCGACGCACGCCCCACACGCAGCTCCTCCGTGCAGATCTCCCTGCAGCGCAAGGCAGCTGATGGTGCCACCGACGGGTGCGGGCCACCCAATGGCTCTGAGGACCGGCCTCCCAGTGCCACATCTGACCTCGGGGACCAGGCCACAGCTGCTGGGGCCCAGAGTGTTGTGCTGGAGCCCTCGCCAAGGGACACCCCCGGGAGCTCTCCTCCCAGGGCAGCCCGGGACCCCCAGGTCAACGGCACATGTGACAGGCGCTTTCAGGAACCAGGCTTGGCAGATGGCTTGGAGGAGGCCGCCCCGGGCCTGCGTATCCAGCACCGTGCCTCAAGCGCAGACGTGCGCCAGGTGCGCCTACTGCCTTTTGGGTCTGATAGCCAGGCAGCGCAGGAGCCCAGGCGCTGGTCCCTGCAGCATGTTCCGGATGCTTCTGGAAGCTCCGGGAAGCGATGCTTTGTCTTCCAGTTGCAGCAGCCCCAAAAAGGTGCACCAGGGCTAGGCAGTGACTTCAATTTTGGCTTTACTGGCACTAAGGGGGACAGATTGGTGAGGTATCCCCGCATTCGGCTGGAGAGGAGCACTTCGTACCCTACCCAGCCCCGAGTGGGCCGGGGGAGCCCCACGGAAGAACGAGGAGTCCCTGAGACTACGCCGCCTCGGACAGGCAGGATGGCTCCTGAGATCCGCAGGACAAATTCCATGGAGAGGACTCCACAGGGTCAGGGGTGCACGTTTAAGATCAGGCAAGATCAAAACGCTGGGCAGCAGCATTTCCGGATTCTTGTGACTCGGGAGCCCGAAGAAACTCCCCAGAATTCTGAGGAGAAGAACGGCAAGAGTTCTGGTCCAACAGGAGCAGGTGCCCCGGTAAGTCCGCATGTTTATGAATGCAAGTTGCCGAGACCACCGTGGAATCCCAACTTGGAAAACTTATTCTGCAGTGTATTTAAAATCAGCTTTACCCTCCACTCTGGGAGTTTCCCTGCTTCAGGCCAGTGAAACTGATGTCTGGCCACGTTCGGGGACGGTGATTTGAGGTCGAGTTTTGGTAGGGGTCCGTGAAGCTAGTTACCCCTTCAGAAAATGTTTTCTTTAGGTCTTCAAAATCAAAGATCTTTGTCTGTTTTGGAAATCTAAGAAAAACATACACACATACACTTTTGTTACTTTTCCTTCTGAATAAAAGAATTTTAAAAATTTATTACTTAAAATTAGTCTGCCAAAGAACAAGCCAGTGCCCCAATATGTTGATATTGGAAACACATTTTAAAAGCTGCTTGCAAATGTAGCCAGTGACAACACTTCCCTTCAGAAATAATCAGTTTTAATAAAGGTGAACACGATATAGCAGTGGACTTCAGTTTTAGTGTCTTAATCATTAAATGCAGGTAAAGTTTGGTGGGTTCTTCCTTAACGGCCTTTTTGTTGTAGACTGTTACTAGTCCTTGTTATATAATGTATTGTCTTTGAGTTTTATTCCATTAGACAATACTGAAGAAGAGTAGTGTCACTGCCGGGACAGTAAGAGATGTGGTTTTGAAGCAGATTGGCTTATGGACCAAGGTTAGGGGAAGCTGTGTGGGGAGTCACTAATGGTCAGATTACAAAGCAGTGCAACTTAACACTGCCCACTTGAGTATCTAAGCCAAGGATGCTGTATATAGCATAGTAAGTGTCCTGTCTCCAGCTGTGGAGATGGACGCCTTGCAGGAGACTCTGGTTTACTTCGCCTGTGTTCTCGCTGTCTCCCTTTCAGTGAAATGGAATACAGAGAGACAGCTGCTAACTCTACTAGGCATATGATGACTCTGCAGCTTTCATAGTTTAGAGTGAGATGAAAAGTTTAATTGGTTAGATTTCTTTTTACTAATGGTCACTAGCCATGGAGTGTTTCCTTAAAGAACAAGCTGCTTATATTTTTAAACTGGATTCTTCCCCCTGAACTTCATGTGGTTAGTAGTTTGAGGATATGATTATGAAATGCCTTTGGGTCTTCTGCTTGGATTTCACTTGTGAACTGTCTTTTCAAAGCGCGCAGCTTGAATATTACTCTAGAATTATGGTGTCTTTTGTTGCTTTGTGTTCAGTAGTATTTTTGTAATTCAAGTAAACTTTGTCACTGCTCCATCTGTCACTAGTCTTCACCATTCTGAAAGTATATTTTTCTCTCCTTTCAATTCTTTTTTTTTTGGTTTTTTTCCGATATCAGGAATCGAACTCACAACCTTGCGCTTGCCAGGCAGTCGCTGTGCCGCTGAGCTAAGCCCCTCCTTTCAGTTCTTTATTGTCTCAAATCCTTTAATTATGAAATGGCTAAGTGTTTCGTGTTGGTCTGAACCCATACCAATTATTATACACTAATACAGCTTTCAATAATATAGTAGCTTTTAACCCACCCCAGCAAATTAATATGACAGTTGTAGGCTTTTGCTTAACCTCACAGTTCCATGGTGAACTTGGTCTATCTACTATAGGAAGATTGAGAAAAATTCCCTATCCAAAAGTTTTGGTAACTGCTCTATTACATTAGTAAAAACAAATCATTTCTGCAGTTCAGATGTTGGACAAATGCATTTATATTTATGTGATAAAATTCTCATTTGATTTGGAGCTTTTAATGTAATTCAAAACAATATACTAAAATTATGTGTCCTACAAGGGCTGCTTTAATCTGCAAGGACTATGTAGTAGAAAACAAATTTTTAAAAGTGGGAAATATAAATTCTGAAATAAAGGTCATTATGGAGAGAAAGTTTTATCTAGTGAATGGGTTTCATAGATAGGTGTTTTCGGGCATGTATGTAATTAGTATATGGTTGATAAACTGGTTTTCTTTTAAGCAAAAGCTTTTGTCTTTAGAAAACAAAAACAAAGTTGATCACATAGCAAAACTCTCTGCTCCGTTCAGTAACTTTGTATGTGTTTCATACAGACCAGTGGGTAGGCAGCAGCTGCCACAGCCTTATTTATCTTGAAAGAACACATTCACTTGGGTGTCTACAGCCTGGCCACCACCAGGCTTTTTTGGCGTTTCTAATATGCACTTCTTTTGTCAGAAGGGCATTTAATTATTAAATTTACATTAAAAATTAACTAAAATTGATTGCAGTCTAGTTTTTCAGTGATGTAGAAAATTTTTTAGGCTTGGGGATACCACCCAGGATTCCTTTTACAAATGTGCTCAGATTTGATGAGCTATGCTGTAGATCTTACTACAAGTTTAAATTACTGAGTACTTTTGTCTTTTATGCCTCCAAGACCTCCCGCCATATACAAGTCTAAAACACAACACGACTCCAAAAAATGTTAACTAGCTAGAGTTTTAGACAAAATTTCAGAGAGAACCTCACATGGTAATAGATTTCTCCAGATCAGTCAGTAAAGCAGAATCAGAGCAAGGTGTGGTGGTACAGGCTTTAATCTTAGTATTCTGAGGCTGAGACAGAAAGATCACAAGTTCAGGCACCCCTTCTCTCTTCTCTCTCTCTCTCTCTCTCTCTCTCTCTCTCTCTCTCTCTCTCTCCTCTCTCTTTCTCTCTCTTTCTTTCTCTTTCTCTCTCTTTCTCTCTCTCACACACACACACACACACCAGCAACTCACCAAGACCTTGTCTCAATACAAAAAGTTTTAAAACAGGATAAGGATGTAGCTAAGTATAAAGGCCCTGGTTCAATCTCCAGTACAATAATAACAAAAGGCAGAAATGTTTCTTGTAGTTGTCAATTATGCCACTAAAACATTTCAGAGGCCTTAGAATTTATCCGTTCACCCTGTAGCATTTTTAAATAACGTAGTTATTTTCTTAAATTAGTTTCTGGCTAATTTGCTTTGGTTATGAGCTGCTTAATTGCATTAGAGTTATTCTAAGGAAGTTGGGTCAGCCGTTACCAATATGTGAGCCCCCTTTGAACACTTTTGTGAGTAATGACTGCTAAATTCTGCATTTTACAAGCTTGAGGAACCAGCTTTCTAATTCCACTAATGTTATTAAGTGTTTAAAGTCTACTGTGTATATAATATTACACTAGTTACTTGGAAAGTTTCAGAGACTATCTCAATTTCTTGCTGACACAGAGGGTAAACATAGGGAAGAGGGCGTCCAGGAAGCAAACCAGGAATTCTCACACCTACTGCCTACGCTAAGAGCAAAGGAGGGAGTGTCCTTCTTTCCTTCCACCCTGGCCTTCCTGAACTTTCCTGTATCTTCAGTGAACTTTCCTGTGTCTTCACTACTTCTCAGAAATAGTGTGGTAATCGTTTGTGGCTAAAAGTTCATTTGCTGCAAAACAAAGATAATCTGTATTACTTTTATTCGGAGGGAATTTTGGGTCAAGATAGTTTTACTATACAGAAAAATTTTCCTATCCGTACCAATTGGTATCCCTTTTTTAACCCTAAAAATAACTCTGAATATCAAATATATAACCATCACTTCTTTTGAAAACATAACATCCACATTGTAATGGATAAGAAAAAAATAGTATTCCTTGCATTAAATTGGTTTCTGATTGGATTATGTAAATTTTCCCCTCCCAGATATAGTAGTGGTCTCTCTTCATCTGGTCATATGTAATAACCAAGTATTACATGACAAAATTTCAGCTATTTTTACTATTTTAACTACTTGAACTACTTTTTTTAATGTATCAGCATTGTGCAGGGTTGACATTGATTTGTGTTTGTCAACAATTAACAGGACTTGCGGCAATAGCTCATGTTTTAGGACTTTACAAGTGAAGAATGGTTATTTACTCTTAAATTAGTATGTCTGACTATTCTGTTATAGAAGTGTCATCTCACAACCTTCCTTTCTACCATCTAAAGCAGTGTTTGTCACTGTTTCAGATAAAGGTATAGATTGTTGTTAGGTGTGATAGTAGTTTGTATATATCGTAGCATACTATGTATATACAATAAGAATATACATATTATAAAGATACATAGATAGATTCACAATTCAAAAGCATATCTTAGGCCAGAAGGCACTGTAAGTGTTTCTTGTGATGTAACATTTTTGCTAAACATTTGGTGCCTTCCAGTACTGGCCTACTAGAGGGAGGAGGCAGCTCTAGGGGTGCAAAGAGCCAGCCTCAGCAGTTCACTGGCTTTGAGACTTTGAGTGGTTAGACTTCCCTTAAGCATAGTCCCTTATCAATAAAGAGGAAGGTAAAAATGTCCGGCCTCCTAGGTTGGGACACCAAAAGCGTAGCTCCTCAGTTAAATGAGGCAAATTTGTGCAGGCACCAATTCATTAACCAGGTACACAAGTCTTTCACCTAAGTCAATGAGGTTGTCTGTGAAGAGGAAATCTTTGATCAGCATAGCATCAGACACAAGGACAACAGGCATTTATGGCATACCTGCAAATGTAGACTTTAATAACTAGCCTTGATGTTTTCTCTGACATCATCTGGTCTTTCCTATTTGTCTCTAGCACTGCCCCAAGATGATGCAGTTTCTTAAAAAGAATTGATTCGTGAGGCAAACATTGAAGAATGTGACCTTGATGATTTTTGCATTGTTGATTTTCTTTTAAATCTTAGAGAACATCCTGGCTGCTTTGCGCATATATTTTTATCACGTCATTTTGCCGTGACGGATTTTCAATGGTCAGGGTTACATAGACTCCTTGGAGGCACTTGAGAAGCAGTGTCATATTATCTGTACAGTTTCTACATTGTGTGACTTACAAACAAGGGAGATATTTGGGAAGATGCCTTACTAGCTGTTGCCTTCCAGAAGGTTTTCATAAACGTTGCAACTGCTTTGCCTGGCTAAGCCTGGAGGCAGAGTTCCTAGTCATTGAAATAAATCTCCAGTTATATAATACATACTAGTAAAAAGTTCTCTCTACATAATAGTTCAC